CCTCCAACTGCCATCTTCTATACTTCATATGTACCCACATAATCCTAAGTCATAGTTTGTTCAGTTACTTTTATATGATACATATAACGGCGTTAAATCCAACTCACGCGCCCACATGCTGCTGTATCTATCAAGTATAAGTCCGTGTATACAACAAGGTCAAACTCATATGAAGTATTTTTTTTCTAACATACCCCTTGCATCTTCTCCATTTTATTTTATTTTCAGTCTCGCATATCTGTCCAAAAACAATTAATTTGGCATAAAAGGCAAATTAGTGGTGTATAATATGTGAATAGGTATCTGACACCAGGTGTTAGTGAAGGGGGTAAGAATGTCCTGCTTTACCAGAAGCCCCTGTCACCGTCATAAGAAAAGTAAGTACCAGTGAGTAAGGAGATGTGAAATCCCCATAAGACGTAAAACACGGATTTTCGTCCAGTGATGTATCTCAACCCACCAGTCGGCACAGCCTCTTGTGTTGGCTGTGCTGCTGATGTTGCTGGTGATGATGGTGCGTGTGGTCCTGCTGGGGGTGTTCCCGGGTTAATGTTCCTGGCACCGACCTCCTGTATCGGGTATTTCATTTTGTCCTTATTGACGTGTTGGCAATGAAGAAGCCCGCCTTTAATCTTGCTGAGCCGTTTGTTGCAAATCACCGCTCCCACCACAGACGCCACAACGACTATGACCGAGGCTACACTCACTATAGCAATCTCCGCTTCGCTGAGGTGAGTGTATAGTGGTGTAGGCAAGGTAGTGGATGAGGGTGGGGGTGTCGTCATTACTGGCTCAGTAGTTGAAAGAAAACCTGATAAAGACAAATGTCAGCATTAATGTTGCAAATGAAATACAGTCTTTTGTAACCTGGTTCATTAATATGTTTGTTTGTTGTTTAACGCCGCACTCAGCAATATTCCAGCTATAAGACGGCGGTCTGTAGATAATCGAGTCTGGACCAGACAATCCTGTGATTGATATCATGATCATCGATCCACGCAATTGGGATACGATGGCATGCATTAACCCAGTCAGCGAGTCTGACCACCCGATCCCTTTGGTCGCCTCTTACGCCAAGCATAGTCGCCTTTTGCGGCAAGCATGGGTTGCTGAAGACCTATTCTACCCCGGATAATCACGAGTCTCATTAATATGTAGATCGTGTGCTGGAAAATATGTCCCTTTTCAATTGAACATTTTGTAAGAAATTGAAATACATCCAGCGAAGTAAACCGGGTATTTAGAGTTGCATTCTAATTAATACAAAACCAGGAGAACCGACTCGATGCAGTGATATATGTATAACAGTACAAATAAAAGCGACAAAGCCCTTTCCATATTGATAAAAAAACATTCTGCCAAAAGTCGATATTACGATAACGACTATATCATGAGTATGTGTTTATGCATCAAATAGTGATGATACCAGGTATTCCCGATAAGGTGAACGCATCCTGCCCCAGCGGTGGCACCCGTCACAAACACATGCACAGGAAAGTCAATTGTCACATGAAAAACACGGAAGCTTATGGTACAAGTCAAAATAGGGTTCATATATCTTGCAACAGGTGCATTACGATCATGGTTAATTATTCAGAAAGTTCAACTAGCCACATGTCATTTAACAATGAGATCTCTAGAAACAAATGAGACAAGTAATATACCTGTACATACTTGAGTGTCAGTTGATAAACAACGTTAATCTTACAGTCGCTTCGCAGAGGTCTTTCCGAAATCCAGCTGACGTAGTATGATCTCATTCAAGATTAATCTCGCTGTTGTTAACACTACACTGGGCTATAACTTCGCGGAAGTAGAATGCCGGGCGATGATATATTATACTCCCGCAAATAGAAACCGCGGTCTTATGTTTGATTTGACAAAATAGAATTATTATAAGGGTCAAGATAATACTTAACCTTTTACATCTATTGGAATGTCAACGGGATTTGCCTATTTGAGATTAATCTCTAGGTCACTCTGCCAGGTGACGTCAGGGTAGACTAACATTTAGTCTCTGAAATCTTATATTACACAATATCCTTCTTGACTCTAAAAATAAAATAAAACTTCCCTATGCTGTGGAATAGAGCTAGCTTGAGCTGGGTAGACTTGATTTTGTATGCATTTCTAGATTATGTTTTTTTCATAAAATAAATATATTCCACGGTCATGGTGCAGGACTAACGTCAGGGGGTCAGTGAGTGCTACTCACCGGGTTGTACGCGTAACCGGCTTATGATATGGTATGTATGACAAATCTCCAAGGTGTTTACAATGAATGATGAAGTCAAAACTATGTTTAGTATCCTAACTGCATACTTATAGTGAAACCCGTAAAGATCCGGTGTAGAATAGGTCTTCAGCAACCCATGCCTGCCGTAAAAAGGCGACGAACGGGATCGGGTGGTCAGGCTCGCTGACTTGGTTGATGCATGTCGTCGATGCTCACGATATTAATCACTGGATTGTCTGGTCCAGACTCGATTATTTACAGCCTGCCGTCACATATCAGGAATATTGCTGAGTGCGGCGTAAAACAACAAACCAACCAACCAATTTATAGTGACGCTAAACTATGAACGAATAGCCAAGCGACCAGAATGAATCGTACTTAAGTCATTGTCTTTTAATATCAGAAGCTGGGCAAGTTTAGAATACAATAACTGTAGAGGTTCTTACCAGGGCAATATTTCAGACACTTGGCGAGAGTTCCTTGTATTCTGGGCACGTCGCAGGTTACACTGCAGTAGTCGCACATATTCGAGTCAGGGTCAAAGAACTGATTCGGCCCACACACAGGATGACTGTGGGAGAGCATCAGATCAAGCATCAGCAGCAGGAATAGTATCAGCAGCATCTCATTGAACATCTTGATCTTGTTAGAGACAGTGTTCAGAGGTATGTTTGGTGTAGATTTTCACGCTGTGTGTCTTGATGTGTCGACTGCAGTTGACTGCAGGGGATGGCTGAAGTCGTGAGTCGCTTGGGTTGAGATTAATCTCTGTGACGTAATCAACCATGACTCGTCACCATCAGCGTAGTCAGGTGTTTCCGCTGGTGTATATGAGAACCTATTTCATCCGTGTGTCAATATCGTCCACAACTTCAATGTTCAAATAGAACTTAAATAAAATATATCTAACATTTAAATATTTTCCCTGTAAATGCATATATCTATGAGAGCTAAAATAAGGACATTTAAATAGATGGTGATATTAATCTGCAACAGATTGAGAGCCACAGAGACGGATGTTTTGCCACTCGGGGCAAACCACGCCTTCTACCCGTCGTGTTTGGGTTAATTGTGATTAAAGGTTCTATATTAAAGTGAAGGCATTGATATATTGCGGTGAAGTAATATATGTTTCCAAAGACAAATAACTTCCCTTAATAAGCTTATTAATCTGCTTAAGATGCTTTAACGGATACGTTTAGTTTGTAAACGGATATTTACACATGTCCATGTGTCATAATTTAAATATATAACGTCAGCGACAGAGATGAATCAGTCTTGATTATCTACCGAAACACTAATAATGATAAAAATCTAGGTTATTAGAATCATGGACCGACCATTTGATAGTCTGGGTTAAGGGCGGGGTCCTGGGAGTTTGTATCCATCAATAGGGACTAGATAAGCATATTTTTTACAAGCATTTTCTGGGACAAATTATTTTTCAATAAACTCCCAGAGCTACCGCTCATGTAATGGGAATATGTTTCAAAGATGTCCTCAAGAAAATGAATTGGCACAATTAGAGATAGGATAAGACCCGTGGGGTCCATCTTCCTTTTCTCTTGGGGCGGTTCGTCTCCCGATTCCTCTGTAGACAGTTTTACGTATTGCTCAGAGGATGGACTCATACTGACAGATTCAATATAATTATCCTACTTGATATAACTCTGGAAAGTTGACGAAGGTTCGTGGTGAATATACTGGCTACTCATGGAAGGAAGCAGATTGTACGGTAGAAAAAAATGAAATTACAAGTGATGACATACTGCGTTTACAAAACCAGTTTCCGTTGCTGCATGAGAACCTCTTTCTTCCGTAAGTGTCAATATCGTCACCAACATCAATGTTGAAATGTAACTTAGATGTTTATTTTAATGAAGTTTCAAATTTAATGAAATGCTGTTTCAAGCCACAGTCAGCCACATTGCAGCTATATCACGGCGGTCTGTAGATGATCGAGACCAGACACTCCAGTGATCTATATGTGAGCCACGGCCCTCGTGGTACAAGGTTTTTGGTTTGTTGTTTAACGCCGCACTCAGCAACATTCCTGTGCCTGTGTCTTGTGCAGAGCAGTGTGCCTGGGCCTTGTACAGGACCTTGTGCCTGGCTCTTGTGTAGAGCCTTGTGCCTGTGTCTTGTGCAGATCTGGTTGACGCCTTTGGTGTGGTTAAAGATGTAACCACTGGTATTATACGGAGTATGATCGACAAACTTAAGAAGGTCGTGATTGTCCTTCCGCACCAAACCATGGAGTTTGACGGTTGACAGGACCTCTCATTTCTTACACAAAGATCTGTGTAAACTTTGTTTGTTGGTTTGTTGTTAAACGCCACACTCAGCAATATTCCAGCTATATGACGGCGGTCTGTAAATAATCGAGTCAAACCAGAAAATCCTGTGATTGATATCATAAGCATCGAACCATGCAATTGGGATACGATGCCATTCATTAACCAAGTCAGCGGGCCTGACCACCCGATCCCGTTGGTCGCCTCTTACGACAAGCATAGTCGTCTTTTACGTGGATCGATGCTCATGATAATAATCACTGGATTGTCTGGTCCAGACACGATTATTTACAGATCGCCGTCAGGTGGAATATTGCTGATTGAGGCGTTAAACAACCAACCACCAACATGGTAAACATGGTATATAAGTTATTTAAGTAAGAAGTTCTGTAGTTCAGCGTAATATTACATTTTAAATGTGTAACGTGGTGAAAGATACAAAACGAAAAATATTTTATTGACATTTCACATTACATTAAACACATTCAACTTTTCATTCTCAGGAATGTCTGAAGTCATATGTACAGATGCACAGGTTTGGTCGCATATAAATATATAGTTTCCAAACATTCTTGGGTCCCCTTGACTGGTAGGACACAGACGTGGAGGTCTACATCGCTCGCAGCTGTTTTGAAGTGTAGGAGTGATCCACTATTCTGATGGCAATAGTGCCATTGACGATGACGGAGAAAGGTTGCGCCTCTGCTGTGTAATAATCTATTGACATTTCCGCATTACATGAAACACAATCATTCAACCTTTCATTCTCAGGAATGTCTGAAGGCGTATGTACAGAAGCATTGAGTCGGTGTTTTACAAAGAGTTGTAACGGTTTCTTTGGTAGCTTTGGTAGACTGACAGGTTCCTGCCATGGAGATCTACGTAGGTTGCACCTGTTGTGAAGGATAGGAGTGATACCCTATTCCGATGTCGACAATGACAATGATGAAGTCAGTCAAAGGTTCAGCCTTCAGTGTATCTGTACCTTATCAAAGATGGCGCTGTCTTCGAGTGATACTGAAGAGACTTGCTGTATCATGCATGTATTGTCCCGCGTAGCCCATGAAGCAGTGGTACAGCCCCTCGATGATCCATGACGCAGTATTATAATAGTTTATGAGATGAATGAATTTGAAGCACAAACGGTCCCTCTGTGACAAGGACAAACGTAATCAGTCAGCCACAGCAACAGTTGGAATAAGTGGATCTGGAGAAAGAACAAACATGAGATGTAAGAAGTCAGGTTATTAGCTGTTGTTCTCTTACGAGTGTATAATGTCCAGCTTGCTATGTATTAATATACCTAGTCACACTGCAGGAAAAAACAAGACATCAAAGACTTCATGTTTTAATTATTGTTTTCAACATACCATTGGGAACAGGAAATACGTTTGTTGCGTCGTGGTTCCTAGCGCCGACCTCCTGTATAGGGTACTTCACAGCCTCCTCGTCGTCGACGTTGTTGCGAGGGATGAGTTTCTTCACCATCTTCCACAGCTCGTCTCCGTATGCGATGCCCAGTACACCTAGAGCAGCGACAACGACTATACTGGTTCCCAGTGCTATCAGGGCAACGTGTGCGCCGTGAAGGTGAACACTTGGCGGAGGTGCTGACGTAGTTGTAGCGACGACGTGAGACGGTGTTCCAGTTGTCAACGTTGTCACAGGTTTCTTCGTTGGTAAGAAAGCTGCGATCAAAATATTTGTGATTGAAAATGTAGTCGCACATATTACAACAATATTTCTGCTTAGGACACTACATATATTAATTTTAACTGCAAAAACATACAGTAAACTACGGTTATAACGAACACGCTTATAACGAACTGACCGATATAACGAACTTATTTTTTAGTCCCGGGCTTTTGTTGTATATATGCTGTATATCTGCTTATAACGAACTACGGTTATATTGAACTAAAATAAGTGGTCCATTTGAGTTCGTTATAACCGTAGTTTACTGTACTTTGAAACAAAAGTCATGAATATTCACAAATGCTCATGAGGTAGTTCCACCGGGGACACACTAGTATCATTTTGGGTATATGATAAGGTGGGGAGTGCCTATGTGTAAATACGTCGGTAAGTGTACATGTTATAAATTCATATCGCAGTATCGAAGAAACATATCTTCTTGTAATTAATGGCCCAGTCGTCTAAGGCGCCCGCATTCGCTGTGCAGAGTTGTGTCCCTTGGGCACGCCAGAAACCTATGATTGTGGGTTCGAATCCCGGTTCGACCCGATTATGTGTATAGGTTTGTCAGCACCATACCCGTGCTCGTGGGTTTCACCGAAATGGTAAACGTCTGAGACCTGCATCACTTCGGGCTTTCCTCCCACATTAAGCTGACACGCCGCGATATAACTGGAATACTGTTAAAAGCGGCGTTAAAAACCCAACTCACTCACTCACTCTTGTAATTAAACTGGCGTTTACAGCGGATGAGTGAGTAGTGTATGAAGGGTCCTCGGCTACCCCACCGTACCTTATAGCTTAATAATGAAAGTCTGATTAAACCCCGGCACTTCACGTCCATCAGTTGTGGCTATAACATGAAAGCTGTAGCCGCGAGTGAAAGTACATATTACAACATGGCCCCCGGTATTGAACGGCACCAGAGAGCTAACGTCTCAATTGCATCACCTGACAACTGTCTTATGTGACAGACGGATCCGTCGAATGTGCAAACAAGATTAACCTTGACTATAAATAACACGTTCATTCAACTAACACGCGGAAGTACAGCGGTGGAGTGACACGGGTTGTAGACCGCCTTTTATCAATATTCCATGGGTCGGCATGACACGGCCGAGAATGTGGCGATGCAAAGGGTTTGCTCCTTTATGAATGGTGTTCGACGTGACGAGCGAAAGCATCAACCACAAGGCTACCCCGCCGCCCCATAATGAATTATTGTTCTTTATTTCCTCCATTAGTTTTAGAGAGTGACATACATTTGTAATCATGTTAACAATACATATTCTAAAGGACACGATGCAGAGAAATTGATAGTTTTACAATATTGCTTATTTACATGGCAAACTATTGGTGCGAGATTTGTTACTGTCTATGGACGGATCACTGACCGTATGTTCCAGGAGCTTAAGTCTTGATACAGATGATATGAATTCAGCCCAGCTGTTAAAATATAAGGCTCATATCCTCTACAATAGGACTTATACAACTGAGAAATGTCACAATTTTCACTTCATCATCTCTACAACCTTCAATGCACATGTATTGTTCTGTTTAACGTTTCATATAGATGCTAGTAAAGGGTATTCCTTGCGTCAGCTAAAGCTGTACAACATAGCAGTTGGTGTGTTATTGTATCACCACATCGTCATCACACATAATTATATAAAGGGACAAACCCCTTTCCACAACCAACAGAAATCTCTGCATAAAGCAGTGTCGACAGTACGATTTCCACAATATCATGAGCATGTGTTTATGAATCACTATCAAATAGTGATGATACCAGGTGTTCGCGAAAAGGAATACCCAGGTGTACTTGATAGTGGTAGTTTAAGAATGAAATCATCAATGAAACACGGCACTCAATGACCATCGGTTATTGACGCGATAGCTGTACCCACGAGTACGTTTGACAGTGAAACTACAGATCACAACATGGCTTAGTATTGTTTGTTTGTTATTAAACGCCGCACTCATCAATATTCTAGCTAAATGACGACGGTCTGAAAATAATCGAGTCTGGACCAGACAATCCAGTGATTGACATCATGAGCATCTAGGATACGATGACATGCATCAACAAAGTCAGCGAGCCTGACTACCCGATCCCGTTAGTCGCCTCTTATGACAAGCATAGTCGCCTTTTATGGAAAGCATGGGTCGCCGAAGACCTATTCTACCCCGGATACTTTATAGGTCGGCTTATTATTGAATGACACCAGAGAGTACAATATTATTCTTAATAGCATCACATGACAAATGCCTTACGTCACAGGCTGGTCCGACGATTGTACGAACAAGATTAACCTGGACTATAAATAGCACACTGATATAGCCAACGAATCATTGAATGGTACACTTACAGCCGTTGTAACCACATGTCAACATGTTTCTCGCCATTAGAATCAGCAAATGATATTTGACTGGAGTGTTTATGATAATTGTTTAATAGTTATCTGCTCTTGCAACATATTGGAGGATAAATAAAAGGTTTGGTAGTTAACCTAGGCTTAATTTAAACACATGCAAACATGCGACAGGCATACGCCGTCAATTTAACCGGTTTAATATTCAGATGGAGATCAGTCTTAGCTGCCTGGTGTTTCGGGGGAGTGATAAACAACATACGTACGTCTATTAACAACTGTTGGTATTGAAGGCAAGTGTAGTCAAGTACATTCTAATTCGGACAACTGTCAAGGATAGTATTTTAGGATAAATGAGTGAGTGAGTGAGTATGGTTTTACGCCGCTTTTAGCAATATTCCAGCAATATCATGGCGGGGGACACCAGAAATAGGCTTCACACATTGTACCCATGTCGGGAATCGAACCCGGGTCTTCGGCGTGACGAGCGAACGCTTTAACCACTAGGCTACCCGACAGCCCCTGAGGATAAAAGAAAGAAAGTAAACGGATAAGTACATATTCCATCTTACCTGGACAATAAGTGTGACACTTGACCAGAGTATCTTGTAGTTCTGGGTGGTCACAGATCATATCACAGAAGTCACACATGTGAGTGTCCACGTCGAAAAACTGATTGGGGCCACACACAGGGACACAGTGTGACAACATAATGTTCATCAGCGTCAGAATAAGAAGAATCTGAGACATCGTGCGCGTCTTCATAGCGACGATCATCTTCACAATACCAACAATAAGTCCTCTCATGTTTGTTCTTCACGTTGAGAGACTCCGTGCGTTCAGGCCTGACTGCGTGCACTGACTGCGTGCACTGACTGCGGCGGAATGCAAAATATCGTCTCGTGTATTCAGCGGATTGCACCGGAAGTTGAGATTAACCTTGTGGCTCGTCCCGAGACAACCGCGCGAAGGTGAAAAGTGGCCTTTTGTTGAAGAGTTTCTTTCATAAACACAAATAGTAAGAACTAATATGCCTACCATCTTTAAACGATTAATTGTAGTATATACATAACGGACGTGATACCATTAGTTGCAGTCATTGTGGTGCTGGTAAATCTCTATTGACAAGGGACAGTGGGGTAGCCTAGTGGTTAATCGCTACCTCGTCATGCCGATTGCCCGGGTTCGATTTTCACTATGGGAAAATAAGGTGTGAAAGCCCATATTTAGTATCCACACGCCGTGATATGTTTGGAATATAGCTAAAAGTGGCGTCAAACCCACCTCACTCACTGTATTGACAAGGAAACTTGCGTCATATGCTGTGTGTTGAGTGAAGATGATTTCACAAACGGCTGACATATAAACACATGCCGTGTTGGTACATTTCCAAATATGCAGTTCTCATTACTGTTGACTCTTCTGTTCACCACTATATTGCCCTTTGCGCCCAATGGAATCTGTTTGAGAGACTGGTTATTCTCTGGCGTTGAGTGAGTACTGAATATGGTTTTACGCCGCCTTTAGCAATATTCCAGCAATATCCCGACGGTGGACACCAGTAATGGGGATCAGACATTGTACACATGTGGGGGGTCGATCCGGGGCCTTCGGCGTGACGAGCGAACGCCTCTGACGTTGACGTTTATATATTTGTCATCCAGGTCAGGTGTGAAATTATTCTAATGCAACATAAAATCAACAGGGTTTCAAATGACGAACGCAATGCTGAGCATAAAAGGGCCATCTGAGTATGAGTTCGAATCCCTGAGTCACCCTGATTATGATCAATGGTCTGTCAGCATCATTCCCGTGCTTGCAGGTTTCACCAAAGTGGTAACGTGCACGATCGCGACCTGAATCACCCCCCCCCCCCCCCCCCCCCCCCCGGCCCTACCCCCTCCCCCAACACACACACGCACGTGAACTGATACGTCGTGGTATTACTAAAATATTCTTCAAAGCGGAGTTAAACCAAACTCACTGACCAACATGCTTTTATAATAATCAGTATCCATGGCAAAACTAAAACAAACTTTATTATTATTTGTGTCTAACATTTCATGGGACATGACATGATCGCAAAGCTCAACATAACGACAGAGAAACATGTGCAGACGGTTCTAAAGAGGCGAGAGGAAAGTGTAATTGCCACAATGTGAAGATCCGGGTAGAATAGGTCTTCAGCAACCCATGTTTGCCGTAAAAGGCGACTATGCTTGTCGTAAGAGGCGACGAACGGGACCGGGTGGTCAGGTTCGCTGACTTGGTTGAGGCATGTCATCGATCCCAATTGCGTGGATCGATGCTCATGATATCAATCACTGGATTGTTTGGTCCAGACTCGATTATTTACAGACCGCCGGCATATAGCTGGAATATTGCTGAGTGCGGCGTTAAACAACAAACCAACCGACCCGATCCCGCTCGTCGCCTCTTACAACCATGCTCCATTTACTTGACGGGTTTACCATGGGGATTGTACAGACGCTTCAATGTTTCTCTCATCTCAGACCAACGAGGGCATTTATAACATTTGCATTTGACTTCGTATAGGCGAGAATGGAAGAGTGGCTTAATCAAAGGGAGATAATTATTCACGTATGATCAGATTAACCTCAGCTGCCTTCGTAGATTTTAAACAATGTCATTTTTTCGTGTGGTAGCACGGACTAAAAAAATTAATTCGATCTGACCCTTCATTCATTTATGACTATAATACACATAATTCACTCGTATATATGGATATTTTTGTACAATTACTTTTTTGACATTCGTGGAGATTTCGGGTAAGAACATAAATCCCCAGCAACCTGCGCTGAGACGACATGGATCGAGTTGTCAGGCTCGGTGACCTAGTTCATGGCATGTCATTATATCAATTGATGCTCATGATGTCAATCACTGGATTGTCTGGTCCAGATTCTATTTTTTACAGACCGACGTCTTATAGCTGGAATATCAGGAAGTGCGGCGTTGAAATAGATACAAACAATTTTCTGATTCTTTCCAAAGATTGTTTAACCTAATTAACCTGATTGTAATAAACATTTCAGCTTCTGCCCATATTTGGATATATTTTACTATGTCTCATAACAGACGAACTTAAAAAAACCCTGAGACAGTCAGAATTCAATGCAAAATGATTTTTGGAATCAAGAACCGTACTTACATGGGCTGTTTTTCAAGCATTTATCCAATGTGGTCTGAATCTCGGCTTGATCACACATCACAGAACACCAGTCACACATTTCACCCGTGAAGATCCGGGGTAGAATAGGTCTTCAGCAACCCATGCTTGCCGTAAAAGGTGACTATGCTTGTCGTAAAAGGCGACTGACGGGACCGGTTGGTGAGGCTGCTGACTTGGTTGAAGCATGTCATCGTATCCCAATTGCGTGGATCGATGTTCATGACATTAATCACTGGATTGTCTGGTCCAGACTCGATTATTTACAGACCGCCGTCATATAGCTGGAATATTGCTGAGTGCGGCGTTAAACAACAAACCAACAGTTTCTATGTCGAAATACTGGCCTGGCTGACTGGTCTGCGGAAGGACCACTACAGGACACAGAGACAGTCCAGACACACACAGTAGTGTCAACAACACGCTCACCATTGCTGCAGCTAGTGAGTCGGACACAGTGGGCATCCTTGGCGACATCACTACAACTCCTTGTATTCACTACACTCGTCAAACTATCAATGACGGAGCCGTGTTGGCAGGCGCCAGATTCACCTCTGAGATTACCTTACGGTAATAATGGCGTCTTTTCTTAAAACAAAATAAACTGTTTGTCACCGAGAGGCAGAGACATAAATATGCACTGAAAAACTCAGGATTTACGATCACATGCGCATTTGATTGTTATATTAAAAAACGTTGAACTGCAAAACAACGAGTATCAAGCTCCGGTGGAAGGGAGGTAACTCTAGGATCACCACTCGTTGCACACACCATTTTGACAAACCGTTCCGATCGAAACCGAATAACGACTCGTGCACCTTATTGAGGATTCGATATGAACATGAGAACTACGTTCCGCACCATGTAAGCTGCACAGCAACACTTGCTTGTAGCTGTCGTTAAATGAGGGAAGCTCACGGATATGGAAATACTTTTGAAATCAGTTTGTTAAAACATATTTATTCATCATTCAACATTTTAATAATATATTCTCACCTGTTTTTAAAGACTATGATTTTAATTTTAAGATGAAACATCTGACCATACAAATGTACGTTCTCAGTTTAAATAAATTTCCTCGACATGTCGGTCGATAATAGAAATTATGATTTTGTCTTTTTCTTCTTTGAATTCGCAGTTAACATATTAAAGTCTTGATGGAATGTGTCTTTTCAAAGAGAACGTGAATAAATAGTATATATAGTTTATATGAGTTCATTACAGTATAATTATTTCATGAATTGCTGTATCAATCACGTCTATATATTGACAGAAAGTGATCTCTCTCACGCAACTGCTCTTCCTACAGCCACTTACTAATCAGTGTTTGTTTGTCAGTGATTGTGGTTATACCCGATCTCCATTTGAGTCGGACCCGATAGGATCCGGGGTAGAATACCAACCAATGCTTGCCGTATCGATTATTTGCAGACCGCCGTCATGTAGCTGGAATATTGCTGAGTGCAGCGGTAAACAACAAACATTTGAGTCGATTCTTACAACAGGCATGGGGAGCTTATACTGCCGAATCCACAACGTAAGAGGCGACTAAAGGGATCTGATGGTCAGGCTTGGTGGCTTGGTTGATAGGGTGTCAAAGTGCCCTCGGTGTGAAGCGTTGTTCATGGTATCAATCACTGGTTTGTCTGGCCCCGACACAACTATTTACAAGCCGCTGTCAAGCGCGGCGTTAAAAAATGCTTTATAAAATAAGATGGACTTGATTGAATTATTTTTTATTCACAATGAGATACATAAATCGAAGATGATTCAATGAATTTTGGCCAAGTATTGTCCGCGAATTTACACTGTATGGCGAACAAAATATGTCATTCCTCAAACCAGTTGGTCTCCCCTCCTTATGCATACGAGTGAGAATTTCTTCTCGGATTGGCAAAAACAAAAAGGGAATTTGGATAAGAAATTTAACTTAAGCTTCAGCTCACACAGTTCAATAACAGTCAAATAGCCAATTTCCTTTCCACTGATTTACCCACCTGAACTAGAAATATAAGAGACAAGGGCGAGAGCGGCTCATCTGTTCTGTTTCATTTTTAGATCTCCGCATAAAGGTTCATAATGAGAAAAAATATCCACAAGAGGGATGACTGCGACCTTCCCAATTGTCAACTTTCCCTTTATGCCGAGCAATAGTCCAGCTGCTCAAGCCTTTAGTGTCTACATTTGACAACTTTTGAGGTACAGTCGAGAATGCTCTTTCTACCAAGATTTCAAAGAACGTCATACGACCATTGCTCAACATAGTTTCATCAAGATTACAACATTCAGGTCTTAGTAAAACTTTCAAAAGGTTTTATTGTAGGCATGTGGAGGACATTTTCAAATTTGACGCATCAGTGACAATACTGATGTCCGATGCAAAATTCCTATTTCGACTTTTGACATATCTTCCCTTTTTCTGGTGGACACTTGACTTGCCTTTGCATGTGTGTGCCAATATTGCAAATTGAGGCAGGATACCTTTTCGGGAACACTGGGTATCATCACTATTTTAGGAGCGATTTTATGATCGTCACTTTATTTACTATATTTACAAAATAGGTGACATGAATATTTGAAACGAAATGTGAAAGTTTAAATCTAAATTAATGACAAAAGGACAGCATCAACCTTAATATTTTGCGAAAAAGTAGTTCAAATGAGTCATAATTA